CATCCTTTTTACCTTTTAGCAATGGAAGTTTAATAAATGTTTCTTTAAAGTAATGTCTTATAAACTTTAAAGCGTCAAAAAAGGTCTTTGGCAATTTGATTGTGTAAGACTTATCGGTGGTTTCAGCATATTTATTTAATGATACAGCTAAATTTTTTGTAACAATCCAAACACCCGTTAATTCAATACCGGCATCTCCACAAATAACTATTTTCATGTTTATTTCATAAGTTTGGATAGTTCATCGATGTATGTCTCAGATAACGTTGTTTATTTTCATGTTTATTTCATAAGTTTGGATAGTTCATGATAAATCACTTTTGCGGTTTTATCCCAAGTAAATCTTGCAGCAAATGCTTTTCCGTCTTCAATTATTTTCTTTCTGTACTTGTCGTTTTCCAATATTCGACAACATTTTTCAGCAATGTCGTTTGAGTCGTAAGCATCGACAAGAAGTTCTTTATAAGGAATAAGTTCAGACATAGGTTCTTTATTCCTGGTAATAACAGGAGTTCCTATTGCCTGTGCTTCTATAATAGGTAAGCCAAATCCCTCCTTTAATGAAGGAAAAAGAAGCAATTTTGAATGTACATACAATTTCTTAATCTCTTCAATGGTCAATCGTTGATTAAAAAAAACGATGTCTCTTTTAAGTAAAGGATTTATTTCATTAATTAATTTCAGGGTGTTCATTCTATATTCATCTAAAACGCCATACCCTGCTTTTAGAAGTTTCAATTTTGGATATTTTATTTTAATAATGCTAAACGCTTCAATAATGCCTTTCATATTTTTTCGTTCCTGCTCTGTTCCAATAGCAAATATGTAGTCATCCTCAATAGGTCTTTCAGCGGGTTTCATGGGTTGAAAGTATTCATCATCTATTCCAATATAGGACACGATTATTTTATCTGAATCAAAGCCATTTGCGATCAAATCCTGTTTTGTTTTATTTGAAATTGCGAAAATGAGATCGTACCTTCTAAGAGATGATTTCCAAAATGGCACATTTGTTAGATAGGCTCCAAATTTCATTAGTAAGGAATTAAACTCGTACTTATGCATATCCAAGTAAAACAAATCATGAACCATAATAGCTTTACGTCCCTTCGAAAAAAATGCTATAATTTTTGGACTGATGGACAGGCTATGAGTTGAAAAAAATATCTCATCCTCTTTACCTTTTAGCAATGGAAGTTTAATAAATGTTTCTTTAAAGTAATTTTTAAAAAAGTTCCTTAGTGATTTGATCGTATAAGACTTATTTATAGTTTCAGCATATTTATTTAATGATATCTCTAAATTTTTCGTTACAATCCAAATACCTGTCATTTCAAGTCCGCCGTCTCCGCAAATAATTATTTTCATTCTATAAAGTGTTTTTCGATGATAAATAACAGCTTACCTAACCTAAGACTTCCGCTTATTTATACTTCTAATAAATTTTTGGAAATAAGCGTTTTGTATGCAAAACATATTTTTGATACTCTGCACCAAACTTTTTCATTAGCATATTTTCTTCAACGTTCATTACGCGAGTAAATGAAACAAAAAACCCTACAAGAAAAACAAACATCCCTATGAGACTTTCTAAATAGATGCACATACCACAGAATAATAAAAAATAGCTAAGATAAACGGGATGACGGATAACTGAATAAATACCGGTTGTAATTAACTGATGATTTGATTTTATGACCAATCTATCGAAATACTCACCCAATTCTCTAACCGCACTATGAATGACGAATACACTGATTATCATAAAAGCCAAACCTAAGATGTAAAGCAAGGGATCGGGTAATAGTAAAGTAAGTGATTTAACCGAATAATAATCATACACGCTTATCCAATGTGCTAACCATATACTTATAGTTTGAAATAAGTACATTCCTCCTCCAATCTCTTTAGCGATTTCCGGGTCGTCTCTTTTTTGGCTACTCATTCCATTTGCAATGGTCTGCCATACAGCACCAATTAGAAACAAAAAGTAGATTAGAGAGAGCATATAAAATACTTCATCCAATCTTTCCCCGAAAAGAAATGAAGGCAATATAAGCGAGATACTTATGAGCAGTAAAATTGAACGAAGCTGCCCAATAAAGCGAATTACTATTTTTGCATCCATTTATTTTAAACGAGAATGAAACACCTTGCCACAGAAACAGCAAGATGTTTTAAATACTATCTACAAATTATGATGTAAAAAGCATATCAAAATACGTTGGAACGGGCCACCATTTACGAGGTGTTTCTTTTTCTAATTCATTGGTTACTCCACGTAATTCCACCATTTTTTCCATAATTTTATTCGCACAGTAATCCGCTTCTGCTTGTAAACTTTTTTGTTTTTCCAATCCGTGCAATACCTTTTCCAATTCGTCTGTAATTTGAATTAATTTAGAAATATTCGGTGAGTATTTGCCAAGCACAGAGTATTGAATTTGAACATCACCCATTTTAATTTTAGATTTTTTACTGCTTATCGACATAGCATCAATACTTAACACCATTTCTTTTTGATAACTCAAACAAGCAGGCAGTATCAGTGTTTTAATCATCATCACAAATGTTTTGGCTTCAATTTCAATATCTTTTTTGTATCGTTCTAATCGTACGTTCAAACGAGATTCCAACTCCGCCGCTGTAAGTACTTGATATTTAATAAATAATTCTTTTGTACTTGGATTGCTCCAAATTTTCATGGCATCTGCCATGTTTTTCATATTTGGCAGTCCACGTTTTTTCGCTTCTAATTCCCATGCTTTACTGTAGCCATCTCCCTCAAACCTAATTGCTTTTGTAGCTTTTATTTTTTCGCTTAAAACTTCGAAAATGGCTTGCTCTACATTTGCAACAGACTCAATTCTTGCTTCTAAAGCATTTGATAATTCATCTATTGACTCCGCAATAATTGTATTCAAGACTGTATTCGGGATGGCAATATTTGCTGAAGAAGGAACGGCTCTGAACTCAAATTTATTTCCCGTGAATGCAAACGGTGATGTACGATTTCTGTCGGTATTATCTTTTTGTACTTTAGGAAGTTGCGCTAAGCCAAGTTCGATGTGTTCCCGAACAGCAGCTTCTGCGACTTTTCCTTCTTCTATTTCGTCTAAAATTCGGCTAAGATCGTGTCCTAAAAAAACAGACATAATGGCTGGCGGCGCTTCATTAGCCCCCAATCTATGATCATTGCCTGTGTTAGCAACAGATGCACGTAAAACGCCTGCTCGTTTGTGTACACCCATCAATACAGCTACAACGAACACCAAGAAACTAATATTTTGGTGAGGTGCATCGCCTGGTTCCAATAGGTTACCGCCGACGTCCGCACCCATCGACCAATTATTATGTTTTCCAGATCCATTTACTCCAGCAAATGGTTTTTCATGAAGTAGTACGCTTAAACCGTACGCGTTAGCATGGCGGCGCATGACCTCCATAACCATCAAATTATGATCCGAAGCCAAATGTGCCTCTTCGTAGAGAGGTGCTATTTCAAATTGTCGTGGAGCAACTTCGTTATGGCGGGTTTTTACAGGAATACCCAATTCATATAACTCTTTTTCCAAACTATGCATAAATTGGATGATACGCTCAGGAATTGAACCAAAATAGTGGTCTTCCAACTGTTGTGTTTTTGGTGGTAAGCTTCCAAACAGCGTTCGCCCGCTCATAATTAAATCCATTCTATCCGCCGTCATAAAATTGTCAATCAAAAAATACTCCTGCTCTGCACCTACAAATGAGGTTACACGCGATGCATCGTGATTCCCTAAAATTTTTAGCATTCTTAAAGCCGATTTATTAAGTGCATTCATTGAACGAAGCAAGGGCGTTTTTTCATCAAGTGCATCACCATGATATGAAATAAAAACAGAGGGTATGCAAAGAGTTGTCGTTTCCCCTACTTTTCTAAGAAACGCAAAACTACCCGTGTCCCAAGCTGTATAGCCACGAGCTTCGAAAGTTGAACGCATACCCCCCGAAGGAAAACTAGATGCGTCGGGCTCACCCTGAATTAACTGGCTTTCCGTAAATTTTTCAATTACAGTTCCCGATTTATCATAAGCTATAAACGCATCATGCTTTTCGGCTGTTGAACCCGTCATAGGCTGAAACCAATGACAATAGTGGGTTGCATTATTCTCAATAGCCCACTCTTTCATCGCACGGGCAATATGGGGCGCGATATCCACCGATAAAACATGACCCGATTTAAATGTTTTCTTATAAGACAAAAAAACATCACTTGAAACTTTTTTCTCTATTTCTCCTAAATTAAAAGTTAAAATACCAAACCGTTCAATAGGCCTAACCACGTTATTATTTTCTTTCATAGTGTTCATTTTATATCTTATTTTTTTTATAAATCTTGTTTATTAAGGAAGCTGAATTTCTTCTATTTCAACAGGAGGCGAAGGTTGACGACTTTTTACCTCTGAAAGTACTAAACTCGTTGTCGTAGAAGATACCCCATGCCAATTCTGAATTTTCGAGAGCAATCTCTCTAAATCTGCCGTATTGCGAGTCACTATTTTTAACATGAACGAACCGTGCCCTGTGATTGAATAACACTCCAAAATTTTGTCCTCCGTTTGAACTTCTTTTGTAAAATCAGGGTAAAACTTTAATGAGGTTACATTGACATGTACGAAAGCAATAATGTCCAATCCTAATTTCTTAACATCAACCACAGCACTGAATCGACGAATGACACCCTTCCGTTGCATTTTATCCAGCCTTTCACTCACAGCAGGAATTGACAGTCCAACAGATTCTGCCAATTCACCACGTTTCATCCTTCCACGTTCGACAAGCAATGAAATTATTTTTAAATCTGTTTTATCCAAAACGTTTTGCATAATCTTTACTTATTTATTCGCAATACAATAATAACTTAAATTTTTTAATAATACTACTTTTTTTATTAAAATTTTCAAATCGGATTGGAAAATAATTTTAAAACGGAAGAGCGATAAAATGAAAGATAAGCGTGGGCAGTAGTGGATTCGAACCACTGACCCCCACCGTGTCAAGGTGGTACTCTAACCAACTGAGCTAACTGCCCCTTTTCCTACAAAGGTTTGCGAATATAAAACATTTTTCTGAAATGACAAAGTCCCTTTATTAGATATACCAATAAATTGTTTAGATATCTGCTTATTTTTTATCAGAGGAAATAGTAAGGTGTATCTTCTTATTTAATTTCGCTATTTCAAAGGGAGACGGATTTTGTTCTAATATCGTGCTTTCTATAATGGATTTAGAATAAACCTTAGTTACCTGTATATCTACGAATCCTATCTCTTTCATTCTTTCAATTCCCTCATCTAATGGAATACCAATAACTTCAGGAACAGAAAAGACCTTCTCTTTGCCTTCCTGCATTGCTTTAGCAAATTTCAAATTGACCTTGGTTTGCTTTTTAACACTTCGAAACGGAACAATAGATTGCCAAATAATTTTTTCGTCTTCAACAATCGACTTGGCTGTTTCTTCATAAACTTCACCTATTTCAAGTTTAGCAGTAATTAATAATTCCTTTGCTTCTTGTAGAGATTTACCCACAAGATTTGGCACGACTGCAGGCGCTTCACGCTCCACATTTACAGAAAGATAAACATGTCTTCCCTTTTTTACATCAGACCCAGAAAGAGGATTTTGAGCCACTACAACACCAATAGGCGATTTTGCATCGTATAAATCATACCCTCGCTTTGCTTCTAACTCCTTTTGCTTCAACACATTAAATGCCTCATCATAGGTCTTTCCTATAACATTTGGAATGGTAATCTCATCTCCTCCTTTTGTAATTAGCGGCATTAACACTTTATCCAAAAGAATAAGAAAAACAAAGGCGGTTCCTAAGTATAAACTAACATCGAGCAACGGTTTCTTGTACACACCCTTTCCTTTATATTCCATACGCAAACAACTGCATTATCAAAGTATGTAATTAGATATAGCCAAATCCACGTGATATGAAACAAAAAATTATTTAGTATTTGAAAAAAGCAAAATATGCTCAATAAACGAATCAATTTCCCCATCCATAACTTTTTCAACATTTGATGTCTCAAATCCAGTTCTGTGATCTTTTACCCGTCTGTCGTCAAAAACATAACTTCTAATTTGACTACCCCATTCTATCTTTTGTTTTGTTCCCTCAATAGCATCTTTCTTTTCTTGTTCTGCTTTTTTTTGCATTTGGTATAATTGAGACCGAAGCATTTTTATTGCACGTTCTTTATTTTGAAACTGCGAACGCTCTTGCTGACACGCAACCACAATACCAGACGGGAGATGTTTAATCCGAACCGCCGTTTCAACTTTATTCACGTTTTGACCCCCTTTACCCCCACTCCTGAACGTTGAAACATCTAAATCATCTTTCTTAATTTCAATTTCAACATCGGGGGGGGCTTCGGGATACACAAATACACTTGCGAATGACGTATGGCGACGCGCATTTGAATCAAACGGGGATACACGCACTAATCGATGAACCCCATTTTCATTTTTTAAATATCCATAAGCATGGGATCCTTGAATTTCTAATGTTGCAGTTTTGACCCCAGCTCCCTCACCTTCTTGATAATCTATGGTAAAAACCTTAAACCTACGCCTCTCTGCCCACCGCATGTACATTCGATACAACATATCTGCCCAATCCTGCGCTTCTGTTCCACCTGCGCCTGAATGCACCGTAAGTATTGCATTTCCACCGTCATCCTCACCCGACATTGCTGTCTCCAATTCGTAATCTAAAACCTTTTGTTTTGCTTCTTTTAATCCCTGCTCAACCTCACCACGGTGGGATTCATCTCCAATTTCATCTGCAATGTCTAAAACATCTTTAAATTCTGTCAATTTTTTTTTCATTGTATTATATAAAGATAACGCATCCTTAATCCATGAAATTTCTTTAGAAACGCCCTGCGCTCTTACATAATCACCCCAAAAATTTTCCTCGTGCGTTAATTCTTCCAACTCAATCAACTTCTTTTCCTTTGCATCCAAGTCAAAGAAACCTCCTTAAACGTTCTAAACGCTCAAATAAGCATACAATCTCTTCTTTTTCAGCTTCAAACATGTTCTATTTTTATTTAAAAGCGAATTTAATTTCTAAATCTATTTTAAGTGCATCCAAACAAGCATTTTCTATTTACCTTCTGTAAAACACTTATAGTTTCGTTCTGAACAAACTATTTGGAAACACTCCCAATCCCTAATAGCGAATCACAAACGACGCATTTATTAACAATTATGAATCCATTTTATCAACTCTTGTCGTAACTTGTATTTTATTAAATTATTAAATGAAAAAACATGATAGAAAAGAATGTCCCATCTGGAATTAAATATGCCGTTCGCTCTCAACACGATTTTTTTGCAACCCACTTAACCAAGTCCATTCAATTTAGAAAATCCCAACTCACTAAATTAAGTCAAATTTTAAAAAATAACGAACAGAAACTCTATGATGCCATTTCATTAGATTTTAATAAATCCACTTTCGAAACACACCTAACCGAACTTCTACCTATTTATCGAGAATTAAAACTTGCAATAAGTAACGTTAAGCGATGGTCGTCCGAAAAACACGTAACAACAGGACTTGAAAACTTCCCTGCTAAAAGTTTTATAAAACCCGAACCTTTAGGAGTAACTCTTGTAATCAGTGCTTGGAATTATCCTTACAATATTTCCCTAATCCCTGCCATTTCATCCTTAGCCGCAGGAAATACAGTCATTCTTAAACCAAGTGAAATAGCTTCTCACGCAAGTAGTGTCCTTTCCGAAATCATTAATGAGAATTTTGACCCTAACTATTTTCATGTGATTGAAGGAGGTGTTCAAGAAACCACTGAATTGTTAGCAGAGTCATTTAATAAAATTTTTTTTACAGGAAGCACGAAGGTCGGCAAAATCGTTTACGAAGCCGCCGCCAAACACCTAACTCCTGTTACCCTCGAATTAGGTGGCAAAAGCCCCTCCATTGTAACGGAACATGCAGACATCGCAATATCCGCAAAACGCTTGGTTTGGGCTAAGTTCTTAAACGCAGGTCAAACATGTATCGCACCCGACTACGTTTTAATTCACTCTTCTGTCAAAAGTCAATTTCTTTCTTCTTTGGTGAATGAAATAGAAATGGCTAAGTACTCATTTGATAATAACAACTACGTTCAAATTGTAAACGAAACCCATTTTAATCGTCTCCTTAGACTACTCCAAGAAACAACTATCTTTTATGGTGGACTTTCTAATAAATCAACTCGTTTTATTCAGCCAACTATCCTTACCCATGTTGAATTATCTCATCCTGTCATGCAAGAAGAAATTTTCGGTCCCATTCTACCTGTCTTAGAATACAGTGATTTAAATCAAGCCATTCAATATGTAAACTCTCAACACAAGCCCCTTTCTTGCTATGTTTATTCAACGAACAAATCACAGGTGAATAAAATATTAGAGGAAATATCGTTTGGTGGCGGTGCTGTCAATGATTCACTCATGCATATTGCAAACCACAATTTGCCATTTGGGGGAGTTGGGCATAGCGGCTTAGGAGCGTACCATGGAGAACACGGCTTCAAAACATTTAGCCACTACAAAAGTATTCTTTGGAAAAAAAATGGATTCGAACCCACACTCAAATACTCACCGTACTCTGAAACTAAGTTGAAGTGGATTAAACGTTTTGTCTAAGTATAAGTAGAAAGTGGTTAGTCAGGTTGAAATAATAACATTATCACGTCGATCAAATTGGGGTGTACGTGGTGTGATAGAAAATATTCAACTCGGGACATGAATAAGCTACAATCCTGAAATTGTAATTCTAACAACGTTTTGAATGTGAATCAACCAATATTAATTTAATGAAACCATCTAATTAGAATAAACATGTTAAAGCAGCTGAAACAATAGACATAATAAAGAGTTTCCTACAAACACTCAAATAGAAATTTTAATTGTGTAGTCCATTCAGTTTAGTTATATGCAGTATGATAAAAGATGTAAGTATTCTTTTTATTAAATGGGTTTCGTCCATTTTTTGTTTATTGATTGTTAGCTTTGATCAAGGTAAAGCACAAGAACTGAATTGCACCGTTTCTGTTGATGCGTCTCTGTTACGTAGTTTTGAGGCTGAATCAAGATTAAAAAATTTTACGACAAATGTTTCAAACTACCTAAATGATTACAGATGGACAACCAATCAGGAGTTTGAATCGGCAGAGGATCGTATTGAATGCAGTATGGATTTTGTTTTAAAATCTGCCGACTTAACAAAAACACCAAGCCTATTTATTGGCAATCTTATTGTTATCGTCCGGCGACCTGTACTAAATTCCCGCTATAAAACTTCTATTTTTCGTTTTATTGATAACGATATTTCATTTTCTTACGATGCACAATCGTCCGTTTTATTGCACAACGAATTAACATTTCAAAATGAATTTAACAGTCTGCTCGATTTTTATGCTTATCTCATTCTCGGGTTAGACGCGGATACGTTTGCCTCACTTGGTGGACAACCCTATTATACACAGGCAAGCCGTATTGCGAATCTTGTTCAATCTTCTACAAACCTCCGAAGTTGGGGTAGTTTTGGAAATAATAGCCGCGGAAGTCTTATTTCGGAGCTCCTTTCTGAATCAGGTAATACTTTCAGAAAACAGAAATATGAATATCATTACAATTTTTTAGATGCACTTTCCACACTCACAACCGAACAAACCGCAACTATTTTACTAAGCTATCTTTCATTTATCGCAACAACAACAATGCAAGACAAAATGATTGTCCGAATTTTTTTAGATTCTAAACATTTAGAACTCGCTCGACTACTCCAAAAAATGCCCGAAAAAACAAAATTAGAAGGAAAAGCACTTTTGCTCATAGCAGACCCCGCACGACAAAGTATTTACAATCAATATCTATCCCCCACACGCAAGTAAAACACATATCACTACTAAAAACTTAGTAACCCACTGCGTTCACACTCCGCTCAAAATCACAACCTTACAAAAGCATGACGCCCGAATATGCACCATGGGTTGCTTA